ACTGTGGCTCTATGATGTCTTCAAACTTGGTATTCCCATCATCTGGCTCATAGTAGGCACACAGTTAAGTGTTGATTTAATAAATCATTCCTGTTCAAGCTTGTGGTGAGGTTTTTATGGTTATTTTTTTGTGGTGCTGGGGATGGAACCCAGGGCCTCACACATGCTAAGCAAGAACTCTAGAACCGAGTTACACTGCAGCCCAAGGTTAAGGCTTTAAGGGAACCTCCTGAAGTGCCTCCTAAGTAACGAGTGTTAGTCTAGAGTGCACTTGGAGTTTTCCTTTTGAGCTGGGAGTGTATAGGGCATCTTTCTCCCAAGGCCAAGGCCTTGTCAGAGTCAACCCATCTGTGGCTTAAAAAGTTTATTTCCAAACAAAGCTAAAGTGAACTCCCATCAGTTAGGTTTGGACCCTTCACTGACCACAGAGACTTGGGGGCTGAAGACTCCCCAGATTTAACTTATGAAAGTATCAGATTCGGGTCGGGAATGTGGGTTTTCTGATTCTCCTCCTGGGCCACAGCATTTTATTCCATTACAGCTTGAAAATCTGATGAACTTTCTGAAGAATAATTTTGCATGGGGCCATCATGATGCATCCTGAAGGGACAGGAGGCAGCACAGCCTGCAAGGAGCTAGGGAATCTTGGCTGCCCCCGAGTGGCCTCCTGAGGCAGAGTGACCCAGCGATAATGAAGGGAGGGAGGGAGGCAGGCGGGGAGTGCTATGGTCTAACTCCTCTTCTCTGAGTCCGTTCTTCACCCCTGGACCGAGAGCTTGGAAGCTCCCTTCCTGCTTTCTTCCCTCCTCCTGAGTAGTGGGTGCTTCTTCACTGGGACCCCATGATTTCTGAGCCCCTGCTGGCAGGCTTCCTCTGTGGAACACTGTTCCCTTCTTGGAGTGCTTTTGCCTTGGTGGTCTTCCTCCATGCCTGCTGCTAGGGCTTTTGCCAGCCTTGAATTTCTGTGACTCCAGGCCCGATGATCACTCTGGGTGAAGGTAGGGCTGATATTCCTGTTTTAAAGATGGGAGAGAGCTGGGGGGTGCAGCTCAGTGGTGAGCACTTGCCTAGCAGGTGAGAGGCCCTGTGTTCAAGTCCCACGCTGTGGTGGCAGGGGGGCGATGGGAAACTGAGTATGTAAGCAGGGACACTAGGCCCAGTGTTCTTGTTCTTCCGCTGCGGGGGGCTGCTGTGTCCAGTCCTTCCCCAGCAGAACGTGTCTCACACTAGGGTGGCATTAGACAAACCCTATCAGGATGGTAGCAGTCTGTCTTGGACATAGCTCTATCATCTGTCAGTCAATGTGGAAAAATACTGAGCGCTCAAAGGTTAAAATTTGAACTCTCAAAAAAGAAAAAAAAAATTGAGGGGCTGTGGCTCAGCGGTGGAGCACTTGCCTCGCAAGTGTGAGGCACTGGATTCGAGTCTCTGCACCATATAAAAATGACTAAAAGCTATTGTGTCCATCTACAACTAAAAATATTAAAATAAAAATTGAATCCTCAAGTTAGAAGTCTGTATATCAAAGTCTAGTGTGGGGTTGGTAAAAATTCAAACATTTGCAGACTGTTTACAAGGACCCTTGCTTAAGGATCTATACACAGCTCCCATAGATCCTTACCCCATGGACTTGACCCATTCTGGCCAGATGCCCAGTGGTTCCTGCTCATGGGGTGTCTTCCCAAGCCAAGTCTATACCGATGACCCAGTTAAACAGGAGTTCACATTTTATGTGCAAAGAATCACCGTGTTCTTTCTTGGGGAGAAGCTATGGTGTGGTGTGTTTTTTTGTTATTTTTGGTTTTGGTTTTTGTGGTACTGGGGATTTAACCCAGAAGCACCCTACCACTGAGCTATATCTGCAAACCTCCTCCCCGCTTTTTTTGAGACAGGGTCATGCTATGGTGCCCAGAACTTGCAATCCTCCTGCCTCAGCCTTCAAAGCCTGGGATTATAGGCATATGCCACCATACCTGGGTTTAAATGGTATTCTTGGAAGCAGTAGTAGTCCTCGGGCTTTGGCAGGGTACAGATAAGGCAGTAAGAGCAGATGCACATGAGGGAAAGTGACTCTGTGTCACTACAACTTGACTTCAGTGTTCTTCAGTTCTCATTCTCAGGGTATCAGTTTCTTCTTTCTCTTTCTGCCACCCTCCCTCCTTCCCTTCTTTCTGTCTCTCTCTCTCTCTCTCAAAAGGGGTTGAACCCAGAGGTGCTCTACTATTGAGCTACATTTCCAGCCTTCTTTTTTTTTTTTTGTACTGGGGATTGAATCCAGGGGCGCTCCACCACTGAGCCACATCCCCAGCCCTTTTTTATACTTTATTTAGAGACAGGGTCTTGCTAAGTTGCTTAGGTCCTTGCTGAGTTGCTGTGGCTGGCTTTGAACTTGTGATCCTCCTGCCTCAGCCTCCTTAGGAGCTGGGATCATAGGTGTGCACCACCACAGCTGGCTGTCTGTTGTTTCTTTTTGACAAGCCTTCTCTTTCCTCCCCTTGTTTTCTCTACCCTCTCCACCCACAATGTTGTGGAATAAAATTTACTGATGGACTAAAGTTCAATTGTTTTTTTCCTTTCCATTTTTGGAGGGGGAAAAAAAGGCTGTATAAGAGATAGGCCATGGTACTCACCTGGAGACATTTGGCAACATCTAAAGACATTATTGGTTGTCATAGTGACATTGGCAGCTCTAGTGGGTAGAGACCAGGGATACTGCTGGCCATGCAATGTATAGAACGGTCCTCATAACAAAGCAGCTCTGGCCCCAAGTGTCAATAGCACCGAGGATGAGACTTAGTGGGGCCTGTAATGTGTAGAAGGGACAGAGAGTACCTGGGATTCAGTAAACTAACTGTTGGCTCATAAATAATGGTGTAGGATGAGACCTATGGAATTCTACTTGACCACTTGACCAGTCATGATTTGAGACCTAGTGGCTGGAGCAGGTAATAGAAAATTCAGAAAGGTTGCAGCTTCCCGAAGGGTTGCAACATGGACCAATAGAGGAATGGAGTGATTTGGCCCATAGAATGAGCTTGGGGACCTGATCCACATGAGCGCATGCACAAGCTCCTGGGCTGGGGGCCAAGGTCGAGCTTTGGCTTGGACTTGGCTGCTGACCCACGTGTTGGTTCACCCTGGCTGGTCACTGCTCGGAGCCTTGGTTTCTGCCATGCCCTTGTTCTCCGTGACTGTCCTAGTGATGGTGCTTGCGACCTTCCCACCTTACGAATCTGACAGCTGTGGAGTCACTTTTGAGCTTGTCCTGTTTTTCCCTTTCCATTTTGGGTCTTGGCAAAGTGTTGCACATTCTCCTACAGAAGTAATATTCCTCCTCCTTCCAGAATTTGGTCAATCTGCTCCTTCTCCATCCCAGGGTTCCTACCCAGCCTGGGCATACTGCCAACTCATCACGACAATCTAGCCACCCACCAGAGGCAGCTCCTGGAGGAAGAAGCCATCTCTCTTTCAGCCTGGATCTGCATCACGTGCTGGTAGAAGCAGAGAGGAAAAAACTGCTGCGTATGGTGGTGGTGCATACCTGCAATCCCAGTGATTTGGGAGGCTGAGGCAGGAGGATTGCAAATTGCAGGCCAGCCTTAGCTATTTAGCAAGGCCCTATGCAACTTGGTGAGATCCTGGCTCAAAAAATAAAAAGGACTGGAGATGTGACTCAGTGGTAGAGCACCCCTGGGTTAAATCCCAATAAGCAAAAAAAAAAAAAAAAAAGTGGTTTATTGGGGCCCATGATGTGCTGGGTACTTTGGATTCTCTTCCAAGTTGTCCTCACAGTGGTGCTTGTGTCACTGTGTGCCTGATTTATGAGTGAGAAAAACCAGGCTAAGAGGAGCTCAGGGACGCGTGGGAAAGTGCCAGGTTGGGATTTGAAACCAGGATCGCTTGATCTCATAGCTCCTGCCCTTTCTGCTGCACCAACCTGTAGTGGAAATATTTTTTGGTACTGTGCCCTCCTTAGGCTATTAAAGTTGTTTTCCGGAAGTAGCCATTGGATGACCACTGTGGACACTGCCGTGCTCCCAGTTGCCCATCAGTTCACCTCCTTCAAGCCCAAGCCAAGAGCTGTGCTTCCTGGGGAGCCTGGCCTCTGCCTTGTTTAACAACACAGCTTCCCGCCACTCCACAACTTGGTCATCTGCTGTGGCCAAGGAAATGGGCCCTTATCTTCCCCTCTCTGCCCCTGGCCCACAGGGGCTTCCTGGGGCTGGAGTCTTGTCTTGGTTCACCACGGGGCTCTCAGCACCCAGCGCCTACTGGATTCCTAATGTTCCCTGAATGAATTATCGGTGGAGGGTGTGGGTTTTTCCCCATCCCCATGGAAGGCTGCCTCTCTGCTTCACCAAACCTAGTTCCTCAGCCCCTGGAAAATCCAGGCCAAGGAAGTCCTGTGGAGACTCACTAGACAGTTCAGCTTGCTAGTCCCTTCTTCATGGAGATGGGGTTTTGTCCCACTCCAAGACTTCTCATTCCCTCCTCCTTTCTCCTGCCCTGTCCACACAGTTGCTGCTGTTGCATCCAGCACAAGCCATGAAGGGCCCACTGATGTGTTTTTGGCTAGCAACATCCTTTCCTCCCCAGGGTGGTGGCCGGTCATTCCGAGGAACTTTGCTCAGACACCTCATCCAGCAAATACTGTTAACAACTGACATTTATGGTATGAAGTTGGACGCTTAATTTTCCTTGGAGAGTCCTTCCCACCCCTTCTATCCTGCTTTGCCCTGGGGGAGGGGGCAAGCTGTGTGGATCACTAGAGTGGGAGGTACCAGCAGGAGCTTGAAGGACAGGAGAGAGGAGAGGGAAGGTATGGGGTATCTGTCACTACCCCCTTTTCTCCAGGAAGGGCTGGCCACATCCCTGTTCACATCACAGCTGCTCTCCACTTTCTTCAGGGACTGGACCCTGGGCATCGTGATACTCAAATCATCCCAATTTGGCCCTGAGTGGCCCACCTGTTGCCTGCTCCAGCCCTGCCCAGTGCGAACATTTAAGTTTGCACCTAGACGGGCGAGTGTGCTCCCGGCCCTGGAGAAGCTCCTGGGAGGACACAGCCCCGCGGACAGTTTCATTCTACTTCAGCAAGGATTGGGATGCCTGTGTGCTATGGCAGTCAACCCAGGAGAGCCAGAAAGACTTCCAGAGGAGATTCCAGAACCCGGAGGCTGAGACCTCAGCAAGGGTTAGTCAAGTGACAGGTTCAAGTGGGAACACCCCTCGCTCCAGCCAAAGCCAGACATGTGACAACAAGTGAGGTGTACTGAGACCTGCCCTCAGTTTGAGGTTCACAGAGGTGACAGGGAGCTGGGGATGGGGCAAGCTAGGTCAGGGAGGGCCATGTAGGCTGCACCACGACAGGGACTTTAACATTGTCACTCTCCTGCTTCAAACACCCCTGGCTCCTCACCCCGGGTGAGTCTTTATTTATTTATCTTTATTTTTGGTCCTGGAGATTGAACCAGGTCACTTTACCACTGAACTTTTTAGCCTCAGCCCTTTTTATTTTATTTATTTTTTATTGAGTTGGGTTCTTGAGAAGTAGTTGCTAAAGCTGGCCTGGAACTTGAGATCTTCCTGCCTCAGCTTCCTGAGTCTCTGGAATTGTGCCACCACGCCTGGCCCAGATGAATATTTATAGATGGCTGTGTAGAGAACTCCTCTAAGGAGATGGAAGGGGGCCCAGGCAGGAGACAGGGAATTCAGTAAGCTCAAATGGTGATGAGAAGCCTGTGGTGATGGCACTTGCCTGTAGTCCCAGATACTCAAGAGGCTGAGCTAGGAGGATTGCTTGAGTCTAGGAGTTTAAGGCCTGGGTAACAGAATGAGATCATGTCTCTTAAAAAAAAAAAAAAGTTAATGAGAGAATTAAGGTGGGGTAAGATAGGGGTGGAAGACAGGGGTCAAGAGAGATTTGGTGGAAGACATTGAGCAGGTTGAAGTAGCTTGGCATAGAGAAGTATCCAAAAATTGAAGTTAGCACAACTAAATATTTTGGGATAAGCTGTTGAGGGATGGGATTTGTATGCAGAGGAACTCCAAAGGGAAGAATAATGGGTAGGGGGGCTGCAGGCTGTGCCCGTTAGGGAGCTTGACCAGCTCAGCAGGTGATTGGTGGAGACGTGGGCTAAGAGCGCCCCAGGGGAGATGTCCACAGCTTTCTTTGTGCAGCTGCGCAGGCCACTGGGTTCTGTGGGGAGGTCTGGTTGGAAGGCTGTGTGATCTGAGTCGGGGGGCTGTTGCCCTTTGCATTCTGGAGCAGCCTCTCTCTGGGACAAGGCTATGGCCTTGAAATAAAATGCATCCATGTGTCCCTGCACTTTCAACCTACTGGGCCACCCAACTCATACATCCCCAAAGTGGGATGGGCAAGATTTAAACAGAGTTGGAAAGAGGTGAGGCCCCTGGGTCTTCTGGCTCAGTGGGTGAGGTGGGATCCTCATAGGATCCAGGATCCTGGGAGGAGAGGGAAGGGAGGAAGGGAGTCTTGTCTGCCTGTTGAGTTGCACAGTTTGGGAGTTGACCGGAAATGCAAAACCTCAGGCCAGGGGAGAGAACAGAGTGAGAGATTTCAGAGGCATCAGGATACAGGTGGTATTTCAAATCATGAGGTCACCCAAGGAGAGGGGAGGGAGGGACGGAGGAGCTGTAGCCCAGGGCACAGACAACAGGGAGGTTCTAGAGGTGAGCGTGGAGGAGGAAGCTGGGCGAGGGATCAAGAAGAAATGGTCAGGTCGTGAGGAGAACTGGGGAAGTGAGGTTTGAGGAGAGCGTGGTCAACCTCATCAGACAAAGTGATGCCACAGAGGGATATGAAGCGACCACAAGCTGTCACCAGTGGAACTTGGGGTCAAGGGCAGCCTGCAATGGGGTGGGGAGGAGATGGGTTAGGAGATGATCACTGGAGGTGCCCATAACTTCTTCAAGGAGCTTGGCTGAGAAGGGTAGGAGAGATGAGCTGTAGCAAAAGGGGACTTAAGGACTTTTTTTGTGAACACATAGGCTCTTCCCCTGCTGTGAGAGGCTTCTGGTGAGAAGATGTTAGCACGGTAAGTACTAAGAGGCACCAAGCTCAGTAAGAGATGAGGCACTGGGATGGGGTTTCATTCCAAGGACCCTCTCAGGGTGCTCTGACCCAGTGGAGCTGACACTCCCGGAGGAAAGTAAAGCAAGACTGCCGGATTGAGGACCAGGGTCCTGGGTGAGGGTGGGCAGGGACCCCAGGAGGGATAGAATCTGACTTATATGGGAGGATACTTTGATGGGGACAGTGGATAACCATTTGACACCATCCCTGGATTCTGTATCTCTGATCATCCAGTGATCACCTCATGGTGGCTGTGTTAGCTTTTTGTTGCTGTGACCAAAGTAACTGACACCCACACTTGGACAATAAAGGTTTATTTAGGTTCATGGTGTCAGAGGTTTCACTCCATGGTTGGCCAACGCCAGGGCATACACATCATGGCAGAAGGACGTGGCGGAGTAAAATAATTCACCCGGTGGCATCTGAGAAGCAGAGGAACAGGTGGGAGAAGGGGCCAGGGGCAAGACAGAGTCCCCAGGGCCATGCCTCCAGTGACCTATTTCTTTCCATGATGTCCCACCTGTCTACAGTTTATACCACTTCCCAGTGGCCCATTAAGCTATCAATGGATTAATCCACTGATGCAGTCAGAACCTCATGATCAAATCACTTTCCCACCTCTGAACATTGCTGCACTGGGGACCAAGTCTTGGACACATGAGTTTTGGTGGGGGATATTCCAAAGCCAAACCATATTAGTGACTTTGTGTCCTTTCAGATGCTGGGCGTTGCCAAGGGTTACGGCAATACAGATCACATTTAGAACGCTCCGGACCTGACTCCTGTTCTAAGCATTTCATGTGCCCAGTATCATCGCGTCTTCCCAGCGGCCCCCTGTGAGCTTCTGTTGATTCCACTGGGTTTTGCCCTGTGTGACAGATGTGGGGACCAAACCTCAGAGAGGTGGGGTCACTTGCCTAAGGTCTTAGGCTGGGAAATGGTGGGGCCTAAGTGCTCTGCAGTGAGAGGGAGATGCTGCTGGAGGGGAGGCCGTGGAGACAAGGAGACCACAGAAGGAGCCCCAGGAGGAGAGATGCCAGGAACCTGAGCAAGTGAACGGGCATCTCACCCTCGGAGCCTGGCTGGGGCGGGTGTGGACTGGCTGCTCCGAGAGGCAAGCCTGCCTGCGTGGGAGGGTGTTGAAAGCCTGGGGCGGGGGAGGCTGTGTGCTGGGAGTGAGGGGTCAGCGTGGGAAAGGCGAGGACAAGGACCCAGAAGGGTTATCATGCCCCCCACCATTTCCTGTCCACCTGAGGAGGACTGTCCAGCAGGGCTTGGTGGCCATGTGGGTGTGAGGAAGGAGGGGAGGTGGCTGGGGACATCCTGGTTGTGGTCTGCAGGAGAGGGGATGTGCCCCTTCTCTATTACAGGGTTTGCTGCCCAGGACAGAGTCACTCTGCTCTCCACTGTCTCTGGGTTTTGAATACACTTCTGTCCCTCGGTGCCACACGAGATTGTACTTATTAAATTACATGTCCAGTGACTCTAGAAAATGTGTCATTTGGGAGAGCAGGAAATATCTTTTTGCATTTCTAGTGTTTAGTGCAATGTCAGCACCTGAGAATATCGCTTGAACTTAGTTGTATTGCTTTTGTCCTGTGAGTTCCTCAAGGGATAGAAGTGTCCAGCGTGGGGCTGGGGCTGAGGCTCAGCGGTAGAGCCCTCGCTTAGCACATGGGAGGCCCTGGGTTCGATCCTCAGCACCACATATAAATAAATAAAATAAACATATTGTGTCCAACTACAACTAAAAAATAAATATTAAAAAAAAGAAGTGTCCAGCATGGGCTAAGCCCAGTGATGCCCACCTGTAATCCCAGCAGCTTGGGAGGCTGAGGCAGGAGGATCATGAGTTCAAAGGTAGCCTCAGCAACTTAGTGAGACCCTGTCTCTAAATAAAATACAAAAAAGGGTTGGGGATGTGGTTCAGTGGGTAAGCACCCCTGGGTTCAATCACTGGTTAAAAATGAGAAGTGCTTGGCACAGAGCAATGATCAAATTTGAAATTTGTTCCAGCACCCTGGAGACTCCTCAGGGGAGGGCCAGGGCTAGTGCCTCTCTGAAAATCACCCATTCATTCGCTCACGCACCAGGACATACAGTCACATGCCTTCTCACCCACACGCCTGAGCACACAGTGCGCGCGCGCACACACACACACACACACACACACTGCCTCTGTCAGAGCTGCTCCCCAGGCCTGGGCAAGGCAGGCCTGGCCTGCAGCCTCCCGGTGACAATGCTGTTGCACAACTTCGAGGGCCGGGGCCAGGAATCTGGTGTCATTGCTCCTAATTTGTCCACGACAGACTTAGGCTCAGAACTCAAGGGGGCTGCAGATGCCCTTGAGAAAGTCCCCTTGCCTAAAGCACTTGGCTGGGAGGGACAGGCTGCAGCGTGCCTAGGCTGGGCATGGAGCACAAGGGGTTTCACTTACTTTCCACCTGGGCAGGTATTACCTGCCTCCCTTTGTAATGAGGTTCAGGTGTTAATTTGTTGCCCAAACCACCTGGTGAGGGGCGGAGCCAGGCTCTGATATAGGGACTGACCCCCAAGGTCCTCTTTTTTAGCACTAGATGGAGCCGGGGCTGGCAAAGTGAGGGAGAGAGGGGCTTCGTGCTTCCACTGGTCCTTTTGAGCCTGAAACATGGCGCTGCTGGGACATAAGGTTTCAAAAGCTGATGCAAGTCAGCACTTCTCAGCTCTTCTGGGGCTCTTTGAAAGCCTGGAGCTCAGTAAGGAGAGGGATGCTCTCCCCAGTGTGTGCATGGAGGTAACTTTGGGTACAATTTTAGAAGTGGGAGCCCCCAAGGCCTCCAGTGACTCCCAGGTGTAGAACCCCCTTGAGAGTTAGAAAGGGGTTTATTAGCAAGGTCACGGATGATGTCATCTGTATGAGACAAGGTAAATAATCAGGTAAATAAGCCAAGCCCACCATGGCACGGGATACTGCATAGCAGTCCTGAGCAGGCGCCGTGCGAGTAGACATGGATGTAGGTCTCAAAAGACGTGCGGCTGAGTGGGAGAAGGCACATGGAAGGGTAAGGCACACATCACTCACGTCAAATAAAGTAAAAGCACTCAACCATATTACTTATTTCCTACAGATGTAGAAAATTCTATGTAAATGCACACAAAAGCCCTGGAACGACACTCAAGACTGCCAATAGCAGAGGTTCCTTTGGTGGAGGGAGGAGGTCCCAGTCCAGGGGAGACAGCCCTATCTATAGTACTTAATTCTTAAATAAGGAGAATGCATCCCTTTATTATTTATATACTTAAAACTAACTTTGTGAAATAGAGCACTGACTGGGCCATCTGTAGAGATCAATTCGCTTCCATAGCCATGTCACTGGGAGGCTGTGGTGCTGTACTTCCTGTAATCCCAGTGACTTGGAAGACTGAAGCAGGAAGATGGCAAGTTCAAGAGTTCAAGGCTAGCCTGGGCAACTTACTGAGACCCTCTCCCCAAATAAAGAATGAAAAGTACTGTGGATGTAGCTCAGTGGTAAGGCAACACACACACACACACACACACACACACACACTCACACACACACAAATGTATATGGCATGCACTCTGGGTATATGGGAAGAGGAGAGACAAGAAGAGGGATTTTGAAGGAGGTGGTATAGGGTAGGAGAAAATCTTCCTGTTATACAAGCCTAGATTCCAATTCTGACCTTGACAATGACCTGCCAATAACCTTGGGCAAGTCTCTTAACCTTCTGAGCCTCAGCCCACTTGTTTGTGAAATGGAGATGGTTATGCCTGCCTTCCAGGGCTCTTGTGAGGATGTGGGGTAAGATAAAGATCTAGCACACAGTAGGTACTTAATGCATCATAGGCTTTATTGTTCTTTCAACTTTTAGCCAAAAAAATATTCAAGCTCTCATGAGGTGACAATTGGGTTAAGGACTTTGGGACTATCTGGATATATCTGAGAAGACTTCCTGGAGGAGGAGAAGTTGGAACTGCTCATTCTTTATGGAAAGTGAGGCCAAGTGAGATAGGCTGTGTGCAGAGGCCGGAGAGGGAGCGCCTGGGTGGCTCACTTCCATGTCATAGATGAAGAGACTGGGAGAGTCTCGTAACCTGCCCCCATACACAGCTGGGATCACAGAGCTAATCACTTGGAAAGAGCTGGACCGAGGAAGAGCAATGAGAAAATGCAGAGAATCAGGGTAGTCCCGCGGGAGGGGAAAGGGCCAAATGTGCTTTGTAGTCAGAAAGTCTGCTGAAGAGGGGCATGCTGGGAGTTAATGGCCAGCCGCTCCCTTGATGAGTGCAGGCCCAGGGGAGGGTGCAGGGCCTGAGGTCTTACAATCGCAAGATGCTCATGACAGCTTGGCCAGCAGCTCTTCATCTCCCTAGGGTCCAAGCTGAGATCCTCTGGTCCAGCCCTCACTCAGGAAGGGATGGCCTGCTGAGCAGTCCTGGGAGCTGGCTGGCCGTCCTGTGTCAAATGAAGTCAGCACATACCCTGCCACCCGGCAGTTTCATGCTCTCTCTTTTCAGGAAGGGCCATAGGGATCCTGTGAGGATGCTCACAGCGGTAGGAGTGTGGGAGGGAACCTGGGTGCCCCTCACTCTCAAATTGGGTAAGTAAGTGAGGAGTGCCCACCAGGGACTAAACCTGTCCACATCAATATGGGTGGGTTTTAAAAACATGGTGCTGAGTGAAAATAAGAAATATCTAAGGTACCTAGTATGAAACTAAAAAGATACGTGTTCTGGATTTGCAAGAGCACATGCAAATGGTTGGCTACGGGTGGCAGGTGAGGGAGTGGGATAAAAGTGAGATAAATACAGCTGGGTGTGGTGGTGTCCACACCTGTAATCCCAGCCACTCAGGAGGCTGAGGCAGGAGGATTCCAAGTTCAAGGCCAACCTGGGCAACTTAGAGACCTTGTGTCAAAATTAAAAATATGAAGGGTTAATGATACAGCTTAATTGTAGAACGTCCCTGGGTTCCATCCCCAGTACCAAAAGGAGAGAGGAAGAGAAAGAGAGGAAGAGAAATATAAAGGGTGGGTGGTGAAACCCAGTCCTTCTGCCATGGGAAGGGAGGCCGAGGGCAAACCCATATTTCTGTGCACATTACGCCATCTAGTGGACATGACATGAAGGCTCCCAGCTGCCCCATCCCAAGTGGTGTGCAAAGTTAGCATGCGGACACCACAGGTAGGACCTCCTAGCCTGGGCCCCCGGAGCAGAGGTGAGGTGTGACAGCTGACCAGGGTCAACTGGGGCTCAGCAATCTGCTGTGGTCTGGCTATTGGGGACGCAACCATCTCTGGTGCAGGGTGGGGAGGGTCCTGACAGACTTG